CCACAGCATGGATTGTTCTTTCTCTTTTGGGAATATGGGCATAACTCACATCCCTCATGCCTTTGGGATGAGAGCTAAAGAGATCCTTTTAATGGTCTTTATGCAACCAAGAGATCATAAATATTGATTCACTGGATTCCCCAGTTTCCTTAGTTAAAATCATTTGTCGATCTCTAGGGATTGTTAAGTTGAAACACTACTATGATATGGGTTCCTCTACTGCCACCATGTTCAGAGTTCCATCTCTTCATGAATGCCTTGCTTCAGGGATGGGGTGCATATACCAACAGTCAGGAATTCCAGGGTGTATGCATGGATGAAGAGGCTTCCCTACACAATGTTTTAGTCCTTCTTGCTCTTCAACAGGCAATGCCTCATGGTCTGGGCTTATTAAGGCTTCACTCAGATAATTCCATGGTAGTGCCTTGTGTTTCTTGTCGAGAAGGCACTTGGTCCAGGGCTTCTTGTTTTCAAATTTTGGACCTCCTTTTTAGGTACCATTCCTATCTTATCACCCTACTAGCTAGCTTGCCATGTTCCATGGGTGATACCTGCAGTAGCAGCTCAATTGTCTGAATCAAAACAGATTCTCCTAACAGAATAGGTGGATTTGCCTCTCATTGGATGCCCCAACTACTGGTAATTTGGTGACATCTTCGGACTTTGACAATGGATGCATTGTGTCAGGACAGGATGGGATTACGACTCTCCACTTCATATGTTACCTAGGGTACTAAATATGATTTGTTCCAATCCATTGTCGGGTCCTGTTGGTAGTACCAGGTTGGCTGCTACACCCTGGTTTCTGCTTCTGTGGTACCTTCTGAAGTGTCCACCTCTTCCACTTCTTCGGCTATCTCTGTGGAGGCAGCCATAATCTGACATGGTACACCTGGCTATCTAGAAGCTCAAGCTACAGGCATAGAGGTTCTGCAGTCTTTAGCATGGCATTGGGGTTTAATTTCTAGGGTTACCATGTATCTGTCTCAGTTTTTGGTTAATCTTGAGATCAACATTTCTTAACAGAAATGACACACATATCAGCAATGGTATATTGAGAGGAGGTTGAACCCATTTTGGTCAGAAGTGCCAACGAAAACTCATTTCTTTGAACTGGCTTCTGGGAAAGATTTTGCATTTTCCACAGTCGCCCTGTTTCAGGTGGCCTTATCAACTACTGATTGATTCTCGTGACTACTTATTCTCTGAATCTCCAATACTCTCCAGTCTCCTCAAGTTGCTTTGGGTCCTTGGTCCCAAATGACCATTCCAGTTATCTAACAGGTATATGAAGGTTACATTATATGCTCTTTCTCAACATCTGTTTGTGACCTGACTCTTATATGCCATGTATCTCCTTTACCTGAAGGTTTGTTTTTTGTGGCTGCTGACATACAAACATCACTGGTTGGGATGATTTGCACTGTTTGTCTATAGACTGCATTCTCATTCCCTCTATGTCCTCAGTCTGGTTCTTCTTACCCAAGACACTGTCAGACAGGGAAGGGGATAAATCCTTATTACAGGTTCATCTGATCAATATTTCTCACTTCTATGTCCGATCAGATTTCGATCATAGTCATGTTGTTTAAGGTTTTTGTTGTCTGCACTAATGCCTTTAGAGAT